CCTACGGCTCTGTGGGTGATTTTAACTAGATCAGATAATGATCTAGTTGTTACCAATCATGTCGAGCAACGAAATCAAATATTGATTTTTAATTTGCAAATTTGTTTGTATGGATCGTGTGTCAAGCTGGGAGGCCTGTGTTCCATCGGCTGTGAAGCAAAATCAATATCCGAAAATCAGCTTTCAAACCCCAGGAGTGAATTTTAAATTTCTGTCTTGATGCCGTGTTTCAAGGTTGTATTGATTTTTTCATGTATAACAACAAATTGGACGTATTGAAAAGTAAACTTGTAATCACAAGATTCAATGTTGTTTAATCATGACTGATCTCAGTCAGATTATGCCAGCCGTTAGTCGCAGTGACTTGTAAAATTTTCATCAATTTCGTTCTGTATATTATAACATTACAAAGGTCATTGGTACAGTTTTATCGCTTTGTATAATTTGCTGAAAAAATATATCACGAAATCGTTTTTCAAACACAAATATTGTTCCGATCATTTGTTTAATGGAGAGGAATTGTGTATTCGGGTGTTTTAGTTTTTTTATTTGCCACGCAAAATCAGCTACCACAAATAATCATCGGAGAGAGTTGAGCGATATATCATATTAAAGCCATTTTAGTCGAAAATCGAACAACATCGAATATCAAGAATTTTCAGCCTTTATCGGCTCAACACATATAAACAATTTCGTTAATCAGACTACTTTAAACAGCACCGATATCAGACTACTTCGAACCTGCTCTGATTGGCAAGTCTGTATGTAGTCGGTCGGCGGTACGGTATCTTAGGCCGCCCGGCCATCTGTTCTTGTATTATATGCAACTATTATTCAAACTTGTTCTTATATGCATTTGTTTTTAATTTACTATTTGCGCAGCAACAGAAAGATTTGATTTTTCGTTTTAATTCGAGCGAATAAGGCAAGCAAGCAGGCTTGGAGTAGCTTGTTTTGATGGCTTAAAAGCTTACAATAGCCTAATTTGAGCCGTAAAAAATTAGTTTTACTCGATTAAAGTTAGTTTTTTGTAGTATTATAGCGTCTTTTTGGAATCAAAAATTAAAAAAAGGCATCTGCAAAAAAGTGAAAAAAAGTTTTGAAATTGAATTTTTTAATTATTTTTTTTCCGTTTTTCTAATAATTTTTCTACAAAAATTGTTTTTCTAGTTGCTATGACTGTCGAATATGCCTAAGTTCTACTATTTTGTCCAAATCTTTTTATCACACTACGCCGAAAAAACGACACTACTTGAAAAAAAGTGTATTTGTTTAAGACTGTGGTCGGAACATTCTGTGCTACTTGCACAGTAACCGGCTATCCTTGTTTTTTGTTACATTTTGAGAACGTGTTTGTACCCAGATTATGTAGCCTAGTGCTTGAAGCTAATGAGTGTTGCCACATGAGTTCGAATCCCGCTGTCGCCCACTGTTTGCCAAGGCATGTTTTCTTGAGATCATGCTTCGTTTTTTTTTGTTTTTTTTTTTCATTGTTTGCTGGTCTTTGAGGATTGGCGTTTTGAGGATCGCGAGTATTGCTTCAGCGTGATGCGGCTTTACCCCGCCCTTAAAAAACCAAAAAAAAACATCCTAATAACTTAACTTAACTTAGTTGTCAATGGGAGCACGCGCTTTTTTTTTGATAAAAACCGCTTCCAGAAAGTGCCCAAAACGATGTTTTTAACTTCATTTTGCAAACATTTACCTGAGGCACTGTTGTTGCCTAATATGTGTCCCTATTTCAACGAAATAAAGAAGAATTTCATTTTGTAGTTTTGCTTCTAAAAGTGGACTGATCTCAGACCATTTAGTTGCTAAACCTTATATGGAGTGATTTTTCCAATATTCTCCTTTAAACTCAAGCAACACAAGAGCTGTAAATACGTTTGGCTTAATTTTTTAATGGACTCGCAATTGAGGTTATCTTAATGTACTGAAAATTTGAATGAATTATTAAAGAGTGACTTCACATATGAAACTCAAAATATTTTCCAGTGTTTTTTGAAGCTCCCTCAAACGATATGAAATTGAAAGCCGACATAGATTAAACGAGTGGCCTATCAGTAGCTACTATCGATTTAAAAAGTTTTCATCTATTATCTACAGAAAAGCAAAGGTTTTCGTCCATTATTTGCAAAGGTATGATTTCTTTTTGAAATTGAACATAAAACAGTCCTTTAATATATGCAATTACCGTGAAACATAAAACTTGAATTATTTAGTGGCGGTAAATATATAAGTAAACGATGGTTCGGGTAGATTACTTTGAACGAGTAATTTGATTAGTTGGCCTGTCATGTGAATATATGCAAAAATCCACTTGAGTATTATATTATTCAAATCTCTTCAGGAATAATTTACATCGATGAAACAGTTTTTCTTCCGGACTTGAAAGTACTTTAAAGAAATACGAATAAATAAAATAATACTCAAGTTGGCTCTCTCAAAAAAGTGGGATCAAGGTTTGTGAGGGTCAATGAGATTCAGGAACAAGATTCAGGAATCAAATCCAGATTTTTATGAAGTCAAGGTCAAATTTCATGACAGACTCTTGTAATTGTAATAAAGTGGGATTTCTCGATTCGATTGGTAATTCAAAACTTTTAAAGATTTCTGAAAAAAAGTTTCCGAGCTAATGGCGTTTTACGTTTCTTATCCCAGTAGCAAAGAAAAATTTGCTTTTGCAATTAATTGCTTTAACCACGTACCAAGAAAGAAAGAATTTCGAATTTTCAGAAAAATATTACTTTTTAACGAATCGGTTCAGCTGTCATGACCAGCCTAAAATATTTCAGTTAAAACTTTTGTTCAAAAGCTTTCTTGAAAAATTAATTTTTCGCGAACCTGGCAAAAATCAATTGACATTTTAAATACATATTTTTGAAAATCGGGTTCTTAAAAAAATTCTTTCTACGCATTAATTGTGAGCCAAATTTAGAATGACGACTTATTTTCAGCTGTTTTTCTGTGAAGTTGCTTATTTCATGAACGTCCGCCCAATTTCAACTGTTTCTCCCGCATCCGAAGTAATAGAAGCACTCATACCGAATCAATTTCTCCTCGGTAACGCGCATGCCAGCGTACCACCAATTAGCAGCTATCAGACTTCTACTTCTGTTCAACTGTGAAAATTCGCTCAGCAGCTATCTCACACATTTGGAAGCAGCTCATCACAGAATTCATCCCGACTCTCATGTCACGACAAAAATGGACCAAGATGACACCCAGCATCAAAGACGGGGAACCTCTTCGGATACTTCAAGTCATGAGTCTCCGTGGAATTTAGCCGATTGGAAAAGTAGAGTATTCTCTTCCAATGCATGACGAACAAACGTGACTTCATAGAGAAGTACCCGCCATTCGAATTTGCACCAAACAATCCCAGATACTCAACAGAAAACGATGATATCGAGCATCAGCGAAACGAAATGCTGACGACGACAACGAATTCAACCTTGACGACACCGACCAATGCCATGACGGAAACCTTTCATAGATGATTTCTTGTCCAAAATTGTAAGAAAATCAGTTCGAAAAAATGCCTTGTCATCTTACACCCTGTCTCATTCTGCAGTCGGCAAAAAAAACACTTAGCGGACGGGGGTTGGAGGGATTCCTAACCAATATATTCCTAAGCAATAGGTATACCCGCTAAGTGTTTTTATTTGCCGACTGCAAAATGAGACAGACTGTAAGCTGACGGGGCGTTTTTTGGAACTAATTTTCTAAAAAATCTGGAGAAAAAATCTTAGTGACGAAAAAGCCTTCAACTTCTGTTTCAATATCAACTTTGACATGAAACTTAGTGAACTGAAAATGATTAAACATTGAAACAAGTTACTGAAACGAAAATGTTATATATAAAAAGGAAAAGCTCCTTTTCAGTCATATTAGGCATGCATTTTTTGCGAGTCGTATAAGTCTTCTAAGACAACATAAGGAATATAACGCTTCATCATTTGGATAGCTGGCTTGAAGTTTCTGCGATCCGGTTAAAAGAAATTTTACGATCCGATTAAAACAAGCGTTTAAAGCAGCTGAATGTTTTTCTAAGTTTGAGATGTTTCATCGCCTGATAGCTGGCTTGATTCATAACATCCTTTTGCCAATCCAAACAAGTAATCAGAGCACAATGAAATATTTTACCTTTTTTACGACTCAATTGAATTGTTGGAGTAACTTTTCGACTTTTTCAAACCAGTTCAATTAATCAAAACAGCAAAATTTTTGCCATCTGAATAGCTTACTCGAAGAGTTTTTTTGCGAATCATTTCGTGCAACTAATCAACTTGAAATATAACCATATATCATATTTCGAATTACTCTCGATTCACATTGAAAAGATCAAGTTAAATCTCGAAATGGTTCAAGTTGTTCAAATTAGTTCTAAATATTTCAAATTAGAACTATGCAAATTGCTTCAAGCTATCAAAACTTCAGGCAGTATTTCAATTCAAATTCCTTGTTTGCATTCCTTGCTTGGAAACCTTCATGTTTGCTCGAAAAATTTTAAGCGATCAAAACGTAATTGATTTTTTTTACATTTTGCAGCTTTTAAGAGAGTTAGAATGTTTCCTAATTTGAGAGGCTCGACCAAAATTTTTTTGATGTTTTGCACTGCAATTCAAGCTGTCAAATTCCAATGTTTGAAATACTATCGTTTTTGCAAGCCGCCTCAAGTATATTTAATCAGCTGAAATTTAATCACAAGCATATTTAATCACAAAATTTTCGATTTTGTGAACCGCCTGAAGCAATTAAAATGTCTTTAAAGCCAATCTAGCAGTATCAACTCAAAATGTTTCATTCTTGCATCATTTGAACTTTTTAACAGGCCTACTAGTTTTTTATAAACTTTGCCAAGTTTGGCAACTTCGCTCCAATTGGTGGAAAGTGGTCTCGGTTACTTATGCCATGGAAGAGTCTAATCTAAAGTGTGATAACTAACTAGGTACTAAATGTATCGAGAAAAAGTAAATTCAATATAGTCGGTTTTTAAGGTAATTGCCCCCGAGACAGTAGAAGGCACGAAGTACAACGGGATCCCAATCCCAGTACCCCCTGATAAAGTACTGGACCAGTACGAGCAACAGCTGAAGATACACAACAACATAGCCCAGTCCTCCCCCTCAGTAACTGGCAGTCAGGGAGGCAGAGGAACAGATGAGGGCGCGAGGGGGGCTGCTGGTTGTAAACTGATGCTGGTCGCCTTCTACGAAACACCAACTACGTGGTATTTAAACCAAACATGTGTATCTTGAATTGATCGTAAGTTCAAGTGACGCGCAAGGCTCTATTCTATTGGTATTCAGCAAGGTATTGGAGAAAGGAGTAAATTAGGAAATTATCTAAAGTTTTCAAGTAGAATGTGTTCCGAATTTCATTTTTTTTTCTAATGTTTTCGAGTTAATCTTGTTAATTTTGGGCGAATCCTGAAACGAATCCTTTAAGGTTTCTTAAAACCAATATCGGAAACGTAAATCGGCCGTTGGTACAAACCTGAGCGTACGTATTTTTCCACTCAAATTGAACCGGGATATTTTTAGGCAGTGGGTGAGTGACTCGCAGCTAGAACCTCTGTTCACAGACGAGACTCTAGATGAGGCAAAATTGGAGGAGCCCCGCAAGTCAGTGGACAAACTGAAGGTCAGAGTCGCCTACTCCAAGGCGCGATGGGCCTACGAGATGTTCAGTGGACAACGGGATCCAACCTCACAATACGACATGTGAACACAAACTCTATTGTCTGTGAAAACTTTTCATCTAAGTGAATGGCTGGATGGAAGAAAAACTGAACAAAACAAAGTTTGATGTGATTAATTTTGACCTTTTAAGCAGTTATGTGATTTTAGACGAATTGTGGCGAGGAGTAAAAGGGACAGTTTGAATATATATTTCGGCAACGAGCATCGATTGTTGAAATCATACTTTTTTCAAAACTGGAATTTGGTTTCATTGTGAAACAATATGCTCAAATCTATTACGTTAATTTGTAGAAATAGATCTAGAAAAAAGATCTAGTTTTAGTATGGTGTAGTTGCATTTGATTTTTTGAGTGACTAGTTATAAGTATCATCTACAAAGGTTGTTGTTGTAAAATTGAAAGTGTCTCTTGTTCTGTAGTTAAACGGTGTACTTTTTGCACTGGTCTGTGATAGCCACTTGTGTTAGATCTAAACCCTAGTTTATCACTTTTGATGTTTTAAATAAGTTGTATCATACATTATCTTAATCTTTTTCTTGTAACTAATTCTGTCAATCCTAATCTTAATTAATTTAACTTTTCGCAAAAATAATTTTGAGCGAAGAATCTGAATTTTTACCGAACTTCTTAATCACTAAGCAACTCTTATTTGGAAGTTGTTTTCTGTTATACTTATTTACAAGGTCATGAAAGGCCTACTGATAGCTCCGCTGCAATTTCACAATTTTTAATACATCATAATGACGCGAAAGCATTTTTAAGCTCGTGAAGCCTTTTTCATTGCAAAATTATTTTCAATCTTTCTATTTTTCGAACGCTTGATGAACTTGGTTCAAAAAGCATCTGCTAGAGATTCCATAATTGATACTAGCTAAGAAATGCTCGAATCTGCTCGACAAAGAGAAAGCAAAAGAAAAGACATGCCAGATTTACCACTGATTTGCATTGCTAAGAAATCACTCAATAAATCATCTAGAGCGCGTCATTACAGGTGGTCGTTGATTTAATTTATACGATTGAGTGCTCTCTGTCAATCAGTTATAACGATTAGTTGTTTTATTTAACCTAAAAAAGTTCAGACTGTGTGGTGCCAAAAAACGAGACGTGTCTTTTAAATCTGTCCAAATTTTACTCAGGTGGAAAGGGGAGGGGCAGGGGCGGTCGCTAAAAAATTTTCCTCAACCAACTGCAAGATTTTTCTGAAAGGGCCTTAGGGAAGGACAAGACATCAAATCTGATAGGTCTCCGTGCGCGTCGACAAAACGCGATTTCCTCAAAGTGCACTAAAACGTCATTTTTGGACTTTGTTTGGAAACATTCGCCTGCGGTGCAGACAATTTTTACAAACCAGGGTATATCTAACCACTTATAAGAGTTATCAAATTGGATTATAGCCTTTCTTCAGTTAAAAAGTTTGTCGTATAGAACCGTCAAATCATTTCGAATGTTTAGTTCATGATAAACTCAAATTTTACATCTTCTTTGGCACTCTCTGCATAGCGGTAACACTAACACCAATGACTGGGACAAAAAAGATCTGTTCGAATGTGGCCAGGGCCTGATTCTTCTCGCAAAATTTAGAAATTGAAAAAAAATGCCGGCCTATCGTTTGACTGCTTATTTTTTTTCGGTCAAGTTGCCACTGCACGGACTACTATTGTGATTTGGGCAAATTTCAGTACAATTTAAAATGTTTTTGATTTATTCCTGCAATAGAAACATTTGCCAGCGCTAACTTTGTTTCAATACCAAAATTTGAAAACAAACCTAAATTTGAAAACCAACCTTAAACAACCGATTTCAACCTAAATTTGTTGTTTAAGGTTGTTTAAGAAACTCTGTATCCGTGTGTGTTCTATTTTTGTTTCTTTTTTTTCTTACAAAATCTGGTACCAGAAAAAACCATTGTAATAAGTTGATTTATATATCATATTAAAGCCCTTTCTCGAATTAAATGCAAAGTTGAAATATGGAAAAAAAATTGTTTTCGCACTTTCAGTTAAATGTATTAGCAGATTTCAAGTACCTATTTCATCATTCTGAAAATTGAAAGTTAATGGTTGCTGTTGTCTTAGCCCAGTTATTCGTGTTCGTCGAAATATGATGCCCAACAGAAAAAAAACGTTTTCCGCCTCAGTTATTCGAACATGAGAAATTTATAACTCGATAAGTTTATGGAAAAATGTGACGTTCCTTTCCGTTGAGTTCCTTTCACTTTTTTTCGCTTTTTAGTTTGCTAAAAATGTTTTCGCGTCTCTTTATTTGTATTAAATGATTTCAGCTTATATTACATGGGTTTGGGCAGAATTTTTTGTCAGAAATCTGCTCATCAAAAAGTTCAATATTTCGACTTTTCCTCAATTTTTTCTTCATTATGGCATTGAGTTTCATATTAGTGGGCCCTGGTGCGGCCAACCGGTTTAAGGAAATTTATCCAGTCAAAATATTATTAACCGATTAACCGATAATTTTTCAGGCAAAGATTAACCGATACCATTGTGACTTGCTTGTGACTAACCGATACCATCGAGACTATCAACCGATTAACCGATGTTTTTAGGCAAAGATAAATCGATATCATTGTGACTATTAACCAATACCATTAAGTGACTATTGCTTGGTGGTGCACGAATATGTTTTGATGCCCGCGGCTACGTTCTTTCTCGACGGTATCTACGAACTCCGGCGGCTTCTGCGAGCTTTGAACGACTGTTCAGTGACTTCGGAAACATATATTGTGACAAACGACTGTCTCCGAAAACGGAAATTGCTGAAATTATATTGTTTTTTTTTTACACTGGAACACCAAATGAAATGAGGTCTTTCTTCAAAAATTTTTAGTTTCTCCGAAAATTAACTGGTTAAACTATTAATTTGTTTGGGCTAATGGGTTAATGAAAAAATTTAACCGCTGGAGGCCCTACATATGAGACAGACGTATGAAATTTTTATAGCTCAAGTTCTGACTTTTTTCAAAATTTCATGTGTTTGTAATTGTCGATGAATGTAGCTCAGACTCTTGTATAGGTCGTAATGATTTAATTTGTTATTTACCCGGGAAAAATTTGAAAATGTTCAAGCTCCAATTTACTTCTTTTTCCCGTTTGATTTTTGCCTTCTTAAAGAGCTTAAAGCCCATATATTTTTTTCTTTGAAATTTAAAAGTTGAAACTTTTCAAAACACAGGGTAAGTTTTTTTGCATTTCCTTACGTTTATTTACTCTTTTTCAACCGTTTGTTGGCTATAATTCAATTTATATTTGATAGCATGCAGTGTCTTTTGTGTGTGCTATCACAAGTACTTCGAAGCGCCTCTTCGCCTCTATTCACTGCTTTTGAAATTTCTACTCACCTCGAGAAAATCAAAGAATAGACTTACACCCAAATCGTTGCCAGTAGTATCTTACACAGCTACTTCGGATGTCCAAACATCACATCTTTTACAAATTTAAATTATGTATTCTTCTGATTATCAAAAAAAACTTCCGATTATCAAAAAAAACTTGTTTGTATTGAAATCAGATTTGAATTAAATTATTAGCTGAATGTTGTCACGGTTAGCAAACCAATAAACCTAAATGTTTTTTTTTGAAAAAAAAAACATTTCTGAACTAATTCGACAGATGTTAAGCTAAATTTGTTGTTTAAGGTTGTTTAAGAAACTCTGTATCCATGTGTGTTCTGTTTTTGTTTCTTTTATTTTCTCGCAAACGCAAAATCTGGTGCCAGAAAAAAACCATTGTAATGAGTTGATTGATATATAATATTAAAGCCCTTTTTCGAATTAAATGCAAAGTTTAAATTTGAAAAAAAAATCGTTTTCGCACTTTCAGATAAATGTATTAGCAGATTTCAAGTACCTATTTCATCTTTCTGAAAATTGAAAGTTAACGGTTGCTGTTATCTTAGCCCAGTTATTCTTGTTTGTCGAAATATGATGCCCAACAGAAAAAAAACGTTTTCCGCCTCAGTTATTCAAACATGAGAAGTTTATAACTCGATAAGTTTATGTAAAGTTGTGACGTTCCTTTCCGTTGAGTCGGACTTAACTATGGCTTGAGGTGGGTTTTCCGATGGCTTTCAGGTACCTCAACGAGCTCTTTTTTGGGTTCAAGATTGATGTCTATTATTAAATCGTTGTTAACAATGAGTTATTTCTTTGAAAACACGTTTCTAAAAATCTCGTCCTTCCAATAGAAATTAGCCCAAATTGAATAGTTTTGATTTTCAGATTAATTGACAGCAACTAGCTAAATTATTCTTTCCTCAAGTTACATTTTTTATTGATTTTAATGCTATATCAGACCAAATTCTTCCCATTTTGAAGTTGGTTTCAACCCCAAGAACCAAAAAAAAAATTGAAAAAAAATCTATTAAGTTTTTCATTATGATTTTGTTTACTATTTAGCAAAGTGTTAGCACTTTTTTGTGATCGTGTACATCTGTGCTACTTGCAACGAAATCGAGTAGACTTGTTAAATTTAGTTTTTCTAGAGTTATTTTGGCCTCTGTTGGTTTTGGGAAGCTATTTGGGTAACTTACTTTGATGATGCGTTTCAATCAAGGAAGTTAAATTTGCTAATGCTTATTTTTTAATGGAAACATTAATTTAAGCGTTAAATTAAATCTCAACTTTTGGTATCACGTTTCTTTGAAAATAAAATCAAAATTAAAATTGACTCAACTACAAAGTTTAAACATTGACAAGTTTGATATGATTGGTTTGCGAGAAAATGCACAATTCCTCTGAGGTACGAACCATAAATCATAGTTGTCAGACACCCAGTCTCACTCAGGGCCCAATCGCCCCCGTAAACCCACTTGAATGAAGTTAGTAATAAATAAAATGTCATAAATAATAAACTAATTAACTCAAACTCATCCGGCGGGTCAGAAGTTAAGGTCGAGTCACTATTTTTTTGTTTCAGTTTTATCCTGCAAGTTAAAATGAAATGAAATAAAACAGCTATAAGTACTGTAATAACAGTAAATAAATGAAATCCAGGATAATAAAAATGGGGAATTGAACAGCAATTAGTGAAAAATATAATGTACCCTGAAGCTGATAGAATTATTGAGAAACTTGACAAGAAAATAAATTTGGATTGAGCTGGAAGTTTGCTTAAAGCTCCGAGGATAATGACGAGAACTTTTGTTAGTGTTGCTGATAAATTGAGAAGTATGATCCATTTGTAGAATTGTATGTAGATGTCACCTGAAATAAAATGAGATCTTTTTGATTGAGCACTCAACTTATACTTAAATCGCATTGTTTGGAAAAAAAGAATCGCGAAAACTCATGTTCATACATATTTTGAATAGTGTAGCTAAAAAAATTCAACATAGATTTTAAAAAAAAAAAATTTTTTTAAATATCAACAAGAAGAGAGTTAACATTTATTGATCGAAATTATGAATCAAGGTTTTTGTTGACAAGATTGTTTTCATAACATGAAAATTTCCGCACTTGAAAAGTTCTAAAGAAGACATTACAAGAAATCAAAAATTCTGACAAAAATTTAAAAAAACTTACCAAGACTAAGAACTGAGTCGACATATCCCACCCCTGGAATGAAC